GAAACAGTTAAAGAAAATGACTTCATAAAAATATTAAGGTATGCTTACATGTAACTTAACTTTGAAAAGGAAAGGTTTCTAAATGTTTTGGCTTGAAATTCAAAGTTGATTTATTGAGTTAACAGTAGGGAGTTGCTAAAGGTACTAGGATCCATAAATGTTATTTGTATATTTTTGGTCTTCCAAGGAGTAATGATATAGAGAAAACATAAAAGGGTTAGAATATCTATCCAAAGCATAGAATTTTCACATTTACTTCCCCATTTAATGAACAGAAATTTACTTATCACCTGTTTCCTAGCACTGGACTAAGTGCTGAACATATAATGGTGAAAACAGTGGTGTCCAGGCTCAATGGGGTTTGTAGTCTGGTGCCAATATGTCGTTGGCTTCCCTGGTGGCTCACAGCAAAGAATCCACCTGCAATGCGGGAGACCTGGGTTTGATCCCTGGATGGGGAAGATCCCTGGAGGAGGGCACGGCAACCCACTCCAGTATTCTTGCCTGGAGAATCCCATGGACAGAGGAGCCTGTGGGGCTACAGACATTGGGGTTGCAGAGAGTTGGACACGACTGAGTGACTAACAGCAGCAGCAGCCAGTGTGTCCCAGGCTTGGTACTTCACCTCCGCTAATACCATCTAAGCCTGTGTGAACTCTCTGATGATATATTCTTTCCTTTCAGCTGGGGGAAAAGTGCTTCACAGCACTGTGTTGGTTTCTGCTATACAACAGTGCAACTCAGGTATATACCTGTGTGTGTGTGTGAGAGTCACTCAATTGTGTCCGACTCTGTGTGTGTGTGTGTGTGTGTGAGAGTCTCAGTCGTGTCCGACTCTGTGTGTGTGTGAGTCACTCAGCAGCAGCAGCCAGTGTGTCCCAGGCTTGGTACTTCACCTCCGCTAATACCATCTAAGCCTGTGTGAACTCTCTGATGATATATTCTTTCCTTTCAGCTGGGGGAAAAGTGCTTCACAGCACTGTGTTGGTTTCTGCTATACAACAGTGCAACTCAGGTGTATACCTGTGTGTGTGTGTGAGAGTCACTCAATTGTGTCCGACTCTGTGTGTGTGTGTGTGTGTGTATGAGTCGCTCAGTCATGTCCAACTCTGTGTGTGTGTGTGTGTGTGTAAGTCGCTCAGTCATGTCTGACTCTGTGTGTGTGTGAGTCGCTCAGTCATGTCCGACTCTGTGTGTGTGTGTCAGTCGTGTCCGACTGTGTGTGTGTGTCTGTGTGTGTTAGTCGTGTCCGACTCTGTGTGTGTGTGTTTGTGTGAGTCACTCAGTCATGTCTGACTGTGTGTGTGTGTGTGTGTGTGTGTGAGTCGCTCAGTCGTGTCCAACTCTGTGTGTGTGTGTGTGAGAGTCGCTCAGTCGTGTCCGACTCTGTGTGTGTGTGTGTGTGTGTGTGTGTGTGAGTCACTCAGTCGTGTCCGACTCTGTGTGTGTGTGTGTATGAGTCACTCAGTCATATCCGACTGAGTCAGTCGTGTCCGACTGTGTGTGTGAGTCAGTCGTGTCTGACTGTGTGTGTGTCACTCACTCATGTTGACTCTTGTATGTGTGTGTGTGTGTCGCTCAGTCGTGTTGACTCTTGTATGTGTGTGTGTGTGTCGCTCAGTCGTGTTGACTCTTGTATGTGTGTGTGTGTGTCGCTCAGTCGTGTCGACTCTTGTATGTGTGTGTGTGTGTCGCTCAGTCGTGTCGACTCTTGTATGTGTGTGTGTGTGTCGCTCAGTCGTGTCGACTCTTGTATGTGTGTGTGTGTGTCGCTCAGTCGTGTCGACTCTTGTATGTTTGTGTGTGAGAAGCTCAGTCGTGTCCGATTCTGTGTGTGTGTGTGAGTCGCTCAGTCATGTCCGTCTGTGTCTGTGTGTGTGTCTCATTCAGTTGTGTCCAACACTCTGTGACCCCATGGACTGTGGCCCGCCAGGTTCCTCCGTCCATGGGATTTTCCAGGAAAGAATACTGGAGTGGGGTGCCATTTCCTTCTCGAATGTATGTGTGTGTGTGTGTATATATATATACAGGCTTCCCTGGTGGCACTGGTGGTATAGAATCCACCTGCCAATGCAAGAAACATAAGAGACGTGAGTTCAATCCCCGGGTCAAGAAGATCCCCTGGAAGAGGGCATGACAACCCACTCCAGTATTCTTGCTTGGGGAATCCCATAGACAGAAGAGCCTGGTGGTGGGCTGTGGTCCATAGGGTCACAAAGAGTCGGACACAACTGAAGTGACTTAACACATAGGCATAGACACATAGATAGATGACTGCTTTATTGTCTTGATAAGCAAATAAGTGATCACAGGCTAGCAACCTTCAATCTTACTGTCATTTTTCAGATTTTCACTATGACAGTTTTTTTAAATGCACTGAAAGAATAGTATAACTTCTTTTCATACACCTTCCACCTAGATTCAGTCATGACTAACATTTTGCTATATTTGCCTTATGTACATTTTCTAAACCACCTGAGACTAAATTGCAGGCATCCTACTGCTTCATCCTTTTCCTTAGGTAATATTTCAGCAGATATCAATTAAGAAAAGAATATACCTAAGCCCAACCTTTAATCAGACCTAAAAAATTAACAAAAATCTATATCTAAATTTAATTCCCATTTAAATTTTCCTAATTGTCCCAACAGCATTTTTTTCCAGCTTTGGTGAGATATAATTGACAGATAGCATTGTATCACAGCATGATGATTTGATGTGCCTACAAATTGTGAAGTGATTACCACAATAAGGTTAACAAAGTCATCACCTCATGTAGTTCCCTCTGTGTGTCTGTTGGGGTACTTAAAAGTAGTTTAAGATCTTTTTTAGCAAATTTCAAGCATAAAATACCAACAGTATTTTTATCGCTGTGTCCTGCCCCCAACTTGGTCCAATCAGAGTTCACATATTGCATTCTTCAGTTACATTTAAATGTTTAAATATAAGTATTTTTAGGGAAACTAAAAACTGGACTCTCTAATACTATTTGGCAGTAATTGCTTTACATTATATCATTTTTTTAATGTTATATTTTAAGTCCACTAAGAGCATTCTATAATTTTAGTAAAGGGTGGTCTTTTCTTCAGTTGCTTTTTCACTTGCCTTTGACTCCATGCAGCTTTAGTAGTTGGGGGCCACTCACTGGGGTACTGAGCACTTCCCTGTCTTCCAAAAGTAATCTGTACATTTTCTCAGATGCTGTTTCCTTCCACCTTTGTCCTACAGTGCCTGCCCTGGAAGGCCCTGCCCTTGATCCCAGCCAAAGTCCTCATTACCTGTTTCTCCTCTCCTTGAATTTGTCCTGACTTTATAGGCACCCTTTCAAGAGCATCTAACTCTCAGTCCTTAGGTTCTCTTATTCTCTACCTGTCTTCCAGGTTACCACAACCTCTGCTTAACTCTACCAGAGTCTGTACCTGATTTTCTTCACCTTCACTGGAGTCCTTTGTAACAGAACCCACCACCACTGCAACCTGTCCCCAGTAGTATGTGCTTAGCTTATTATAAAGCAAGGAAGAACATAATTGACAAGAACCTAGAATGTGCTGTCCCTTCATTTATCTTCACAAAACCTTCCAAGTAGATGCCAGAGGCCCACATGCCTTTTTCCTCTTCCTGGTCACAAAGGAGGACTTTCCCAGCCTCCCTTGCAGTTACACTGGAGCCACGTGATTAGTCTGGCCAGCAGAACATGGGCAGAAGTAATGTCTGTCATGTCCAGGCTTGATCCTTAGTTTCCCATGGGATAATTAGTTCCTCTGTCTATAGGCTTAGAAGCAAAGGATGTTCAGATATTGGCTCACATGCCAGTTCAGTTCAGTCACTCAGTCGTGTCCAATTCTTTGCAACCGCATGAATTGCAGCACGCCAGGCCTCCCTGTCCTTCACCAACTCCTGGAGTTTACTCAAACCCATGTCCATCGAGTCAGTGATGCCATCCAGCCATCTCATCCTCTGTCGTCCCCTTCTTCTCCTGCCCCCAATCCCTCCCAGCATCAGGGTCTTTCCCATGAGTCAGCTCTTCCCATGAGGTGGCCAAAGTATTGGAGTTTCAGCTNTTCTTCACTTTCTGCCATAAGGGTGGTGTCATCTGCATATCTGAGGTTATTGATATTTCTCCAGGCAACCTTGATTCCAGCTTGTGCTTCATCCAGCCCAGCGTTTCTCATGATGTACTCTGCATAGAAGTGAAATAAGCAGGGTGACAATATACAGCCTTGACTGTACTCCTTTTCCAGTTTGGAACCAGTCTGTTGTTCCATGTCCAGTTCTAACTGTTGCTTCCTGACCTGCATTTAGGTTTCTCAAGAGGTGAGTCACATGCCAGATTCCTTAGCTGCCTCTTGGAGAAGCACTATCTGACCTAAATCAAACAGTGAACAGAGCAAAACATAAAGTTAAAAGTTGCAGAGTTTAATAGCAAGTCCTGAGAATGCAACCCTCTTTTGTTATATTTTTTTATTGAAACAGGAGTTCTGAGTCCAACTCAAACTATAAAAGGACTTTTAGGGAAAAGAAAACAAAAACCCTAGGGATTGACTTTTTTGTCAATCCACATATGAGACCATCAGTCCCCTCCAGATAGGTGTTCAAGGCTTCCTTTTCAATAAACAGGTTTCCATTTCAAGGATGAAGATATCCTTAGGTTCTTCAGCCTTTTATTCCTGGATTGACATTTCTTTTAATAACCAAACAAAACGTTATGACTTACCATCTTACATGTTACATGTCTGCATGAGGAAAAGCCGATTCTTCTCCCAGCATTTCCAGCACATCCCCATTTAGGTCTCATTGACAGAGTGGTTCCTTGGGGCCACACATAGGTCTAAAGAAGACTGAGTGCTATTTTAGCTGGGCAAGTTGTCCAAGGAGAGGTTGGAGTTCTGTAAGGAAGGAAAGTGGGAGGGATAGACAAGGAGTAGGAACCTAGCAGTGTCTGACCCACTTTGTCTTAGTCAGTTCTGACTGCTATAACAAATTACCATAGACTAGGTGGCTTATAAGCAACAGAAATTTATTCCCCACAGTTCTGGAGACTTGAAGCTTGAGATCAGGGTGCCAGCATGGTCGGGGGAGGACCTTCTTCCAGTCGCAGACTGCTGATATCTTGTGTCCTCACATAATGGGAAGCAGAGGGCAGCCACCTCTCTCCTAGCTGTAAAGGGCACTGACTTCATTCATGAGGGCTCCACCTTCATGGCATCATCCAATCCTCATGACCTGGCACCATCACCAGAGGGAAAGGGGAGGGGGTGGAGGGACAGAATAGGATTTCATCATGTGAGCATTCAGTCTGTAACTCCCTTAAAGAGGTTTTTCTTAAAAGGACCACCTATCCCAGAGACGAAATGCCGATGTCAAAACCCCAGAAATAACTACCCTGGTTTTTATTTTATATAGCAGTTTCCCCAGTGCTTGGCATGCAAATATCAGTAATATGTAGAGTTTTCTTTTTGGCTTCTTATAGTTTAGAAATTCTAGCAATATACTTCAGGTGCATTTTTAATAAATGAATTTGTGATTTCCAGATGGTTGGCTTTTAATCTCTTACATCATCATTGCAAAGCACATTGTATTGGTTGCATTTTAAGCTCTTTTTTTAGACCCAAGTGAGTGATTAAATATTCATTTCCCTTTTAAAATCCAAAATAAGCATTATTGTTATTTAGTTTAAAACAACCTGAAATTCACAGAAAATTGCAAATACAGTATAAAGAACTTTTTTTAAAATCTTGAGCTCCCATTTGGGAGTAAGTTGCCAACCAGATGCCCCCTCACCCCCAAATACTTCCTGGGGTGCTATCAGTCACTTTCCCACATAATCACAATATAACCATTAAAATCAGGAAATAAACACAGACCATTTATATTACCCGATCCTAACACCCCCTCATTAAATTTCATTTTTCATCCCAATAATATCCTTTATACCAAAAAAAAAAAAAAAACAGTTCAGAATTGTCACATGTCTTTAGTGTCCTTTAGTCAAAAATGTTTCCTCAATCTTTGTTTGACTTTCATGACCTTGATACTTTTGAACACCACAACTTCTGTGGGGCTTCCTTCAGTTTAGGTGTGTTGTGCTTGGCAGCAATACCACCAAAGTGATGCTGTATTCAGATGACTCTCAGTTTTGATTTGTCCCATTGCTAGCAATGCTCTCTTTAACTACTTGATCAAAATGGTGTCTGCCCAGCTTCTCCACAAGGAAGTAACTCCAAAATAAAGTTACTATAAATTTTTTTCTGTTTTGAATTAACAAGTATTAATTTTGTGAAGAGATAAGTTGTTGCTGTTTAGTCGCTGAGTCACATCCAACTCTTTGCGACCCCATGGACTGTAGCCCACCAGACTCCTCTGCCCATGGAATATCTCAAACAAGAATACTGGAGTGAGAAGGAAAGTGCCATTTCCTTCTCCAGGGGATCTTCCCATCCCCGGGATCAAACCCACATCTCCCACATTGGCAGATGGATTCTTCACCACTGAGCCATCAGGGAACACCAGGGAGATATATTAGCTCTAAATAAATACTCTGTTCCTTATCAAGCCTTCACTGTACTTTTATTCACATTAGTGTGGGTTCCTGGTTTCCTATTTTGTTCAATAGATTTTTTTTATTATTTGTTGTGATGCTTATATTGTCTCACATTTCACCAGCGGGAACCCTTTCAAATTGGCTCATCTGTCATTTCGTCCCATCCTTCTGTATTTTCTTTTTTTCTGGCACAACAAAATGTTCCCTGCTCTTGTTGTTTTTTCCCTGCCCCAGTGTTGCAAGTGGCCATTTCTTCAAGGAATAGGGTTACCAAATATAATATAGATGAATAAGGTAAATTTGCATCTCAGATAAAAAATAGTGAAGATATATCCCATGCAATAATTTCTTGTTTACTTACAGTTTGCTGTATTTTCATATAGTAAATCTGGCACCCTACCAAGAAATCCTGGTTCCCTGACGTGGCAAATGGTATTTAGAAAACCACAATCAGGATAGGTCCTCTGGTTGCCATTTGAGTTCACAGCTCTCTAGATGGACAGAGGTAGGGAACATGTATACACACACACATGTACACATTTGTACCTATATTTATATATCAACATTGATGCCATATAGATATACATACATTGCAGTCCATGAGTGCACACTGATAACTTCTAATTCCAATCCTGAAGGTGCGTCCGGGTTCTCCCTCTCCATGTTTACAACTTCACACTCTGAGGGTGAGAACCCTGGCTCTCATTACTGCTAATACGTACTTGTTTGATCAATGCCTTGGTGTATACCAAACTCGCATCACCGACCCTGCCCCCTCCCCTGGGAGGATGCCCTGTTTGCACTCAGATTCCCGTGCTGGTTCATCCCTACAGATGGATACTCTCTCACCCACCTCAGCACACGCCACCCCACAGTGGGGGTGACCGCTTTGCTGAGATCTGCCACACCCCCGTGGGGAGCCTCACCTCCCTCCTGTGCCTCCTCCCCACACTCGGCCAATCTCCACCCAACTCCACACCCGCCCTTTGTGGACACCCTCCCCAGCTTCCTCTAAGGACAAAGATCTCCAGATACAAATGATACTTAAGTAAGAAGCTTGTGTTACTTTTCTTATTCATGACACTCATAACACGGGGTTTTCAAAGTAAAAGAGGCTTTGACAAAGACAACTGGAAAAACAAGGATATTTTTATTCTTTTGCATTGAGCTGATGCTAACCATTACTTACTAGTAGTAAAAACCCAAGAGAAGTCAAAATTAGAAATGCAGACCTCTGTTTAAAAACCTGTTTGTCTCCACTTCCTCTCAAAAACCCCTAAATTAACAGGAAAGGAATAAAAAGGCAGAAGAAATACAAAGAGCCCAGGAGATGACAGCAGAGAGGACATTATCAGGAAATTCTAGAAGATAGAAAGATAGACAAGGAATGACTAACTTAGAGAAAAGGAGGCTAAAACTTACGTGCCTTCAGCAGACGTTCCTTCAGCAGAGTGTCCAGCAGTAACCAACCAATCCCTGATGTGAAACCCTAGAAAATGTCAAAAATTGAAGTCACTGGTTTCTCTGACGTACAGAATAAAGTGAAAAACAGGCTTATTCTTAAATATGAGTGACCAATCAAGAATCACCAGACACTTGAGGGAGGTCTTATATGAAAGCAAAAATGAAAATTAACCTGGAGAAAACTGAGACAATGCAGAAGAACAAAAATACCAAAGATAGTGGGAAAAAGACGAAAGTCATAGGATAGTGATTGTGTGTGTGTACAGATTATTAAAACATCTTTAGTAACAAGAATTCATAGGTGATGTCTTGGTTTGAAAAACCATGACATCTGTATCAGTATGTTATTTAGTCACATGTTCTAGGGGAGAAGCATCTAAAGAGTTAAAAGTGGTTACCTCTGGGGAAGCCACATTAGATAAGGGAAAGACAGGTGAATCTTGATATTTTCAGAAACCCATATAGTACTTTGTTAAAAATAAGGGTTTGATTTAAAAGCTGTTTGTATGGATTGAAACATCTTTAATGTCAGAATCTGACACCTAGATTCAATTCAATGAGCACGTCTGCACTTTTACTGTTTACGTAATTCTGTACAGATCTTAATCCCTGAAACTCAGTTTACACATTTATAACTTGGGAATAATCTCTTAATCTGCTTGGGCTGCCGTAACAAAATACTACAGACCAAGGGGCTTAAACAACAGTAACATATTCCTCAGAGTCCTGGAGACCACAAGTCCAAGATGAAGGTGTTGGCAGGTTGTTCCCTGGGGTCTCCCTCCCTGGAGTTCTCCCTGGGGGGGCTCATTGCTAGGATCTCTTACTCTCCTTATAAGGACAACAGGCATGTTGCATTAGGGCCTACGCTAATGACCTCAGTTTAACTTAATCACTTCTTCAAAGACCTTGTCTCCAAATACAATCTGAAGTCCTGAAGACTGGGATTTCAACATGTGAATTGTAGGGGGAGCACAATTCAGTCCACTCTACCTACCTACTAGATTCATTCATGTGCCAAGATTTAGTGGGATTCCTTTAATGTTCCAGCCTATGCTAGAACATGTTCTAACATGTTCCAGCATTCCTCCCAGTTTACTGACCTGTCTCTCTCACACACACACACTGAAAAGTTCATTTTCTGTGTGTGTGTTTTGTTTGGCTGCGTGCGGTCCAGGTTGCTATGAGCAGGGGCTACTCTCTGGTTGTGGCACCTGGCCTTCTCATCGTACCGGCTTCTCTTGTTGGGGAGCCCGGGCTCCAAAGCAAGCAGGTTGAGTTGGTGTGGTGCACTGGCTTAGCTGCCCTGTGCACTAATTACTGTGTCATCTTCCCAGACGAAGGTTTGAACCCATGGCCCCTGTATTGACAGGCAGATTCTTAAACACTGGACCATCAGGGAAATCCATTTTTTGTGTTTTTAGAATCTAAATAGCTTATGTGTTTTTCAGGGACTCACTTTACCCCCATCAATATCAGGCCCCTAGGACTTGTTCAGGTTGATATATGTGACCATAATTATCTCCCTGTTCTGACTATCTGTTGCTGCCAGCCTCACCCCTAGAATCCTGTCTTTCCCATTCATGCTGAGGCAACAGTCTTAATCCAGCAGCAGTACCCAACCTTTTTGGCACCAGGAACCAGGAACCGGTTTCATGGAAGACAACTTTTCCATGAACCATGGGTGGGGGGTGGTTTCAGGATGATTCAAGTGCATTACATTTATTGTATGCTTTAATTCTATTATTATTATATCAACTCCACCTCAAGTCATCAGGCATTAGATCCTGGAGGCAGGGGACCCCTCGTCTACAGGACCAGTAATTCTGAGATTCTCAGAATTTACTAGCACTTTCCATATTTTAGTGAAGGTTGTGCTAAATTGCTTCAGTCATGTCCAACTCTTTATGACGCTATGAACTGTGGCCCACCAGGCTCCTCTGTCATGGGATTCTGCAGGCAAGAGTACTGGAGCGGGTTGCCATGCCCTCCTCCAGGGGATCTTCCCGACCCAGGGTCGAACCCACGTCTCTTAATGTTGCCTGCGTAGGCACATGGATTCTTTACCACTAGCGCCACCTGGGAAACCCATTTAGTGAAGGAAGTGCCTTCTGAAACCCCCACCCCAGGGAACACTGTTAGCAGGTGGGTTCTCTGGTATTATGTAATAAGTGCAGTCTTAAATCTAGTCTGTTTGAGTGAGTTTACTCCTTCCTCATCTTTCTTCTAAGAAATGCAAGCACCTCCATTCAAGTACACTGTTTTCAAGTTTCGAAGAGCAATTCCTGCTGTTTAACATGGACAGTTCTAGGCATCCTACCAAGATACTAAGTTTTGAGTCACTAAATAATGCACCCATATTAATAAACTCTCTTCTGTCCAGCCTTATAGTCTGTCCTCCTTGATCCACCACCTTTAATATCTGTTTTTAGGCAAATTCTTCCAGTTCCTGGTGGTTCATAACACTGCCAAGTTCTGCAGTGCTCTTGGTGAATAATCTCTTTCTTCACACAGCAGTATTTTTCTGCTTGGCTCACAATAAGGAGCAATAGAGAGAGGCAAGGAAAGATCTTACAGACATGCATCATCTTGCAAGGCATCTGCCCTAGTGAGGCCTTTGCACAGTCTCCAGGCAGCTGGAGACTGGTTTCCTCTGGCAAGAGGGCGGGCTCCAGACAATTCTGGCTCAGGTTATTCAGAGGAACCTGGGTAATCAAGTCCTCAACCCTATCTACCCAAATGGGCTCCTCTCCTTCCCTTTCAGTCTCCTGACTTTAGCATAAGAGCCCATCTGGGCTGTGAACTCAACCTCCTTTTTCCCTTTTTAGCTCTGCTCTATTTAAGATCAAATTTGAAATCTTACTGTTCAGCTCAGTCTACCTTCTGTCCACAGGAAGTGAGACCCCCTTTAAAAGATGACATGGAAGACTTTTGACTTTCTTTCAATCCAAATTTTAAACTGATGGTTACCTGGCCTGGGTCTGTTACTTGCTTCTTCCATGCCTCCTCTAGCAGTTGACAACAAACCAACTTCAAAATCCTAATAATTGCCGTTGCTCCCCATCTGGTTCAACAGCTACTCTATAGGTCTGGACATTTTCTTACACCAGCACATGAGCCCAGTTTCCCACAGGTGAGACTCTTAGCAGTGATGCTACAGCACGCCAGACATCATCCTGGCCTCACTCAGCGACAGTAACAGGGTCTTAGTTGTCATCTGACCAACAAGAGATACAATTATAGAATCTTGTTCTGAGAGTCCCCCTTTATTACCTCACTTCTAGGACCTACTCACTTAGGCGAGGTTCCTCCAGAACTTAGGGATTTGAGTTTGCAACTAGTGTGCTTGAAGAGTAAATTGTGATGCCAGGAAGGAGCAGGAGAGGAGTGAAGAGGAGACAACCCGGAGCACTTTAATGAGCGGGGTACCGCTGACGACCGGGGCTCAGCCCGCAGGAGCCCGCGGGGTGGCACGGCCTGCGCGTCACAGACGTCCCACCCCGGGGGCAGGCAGGCGGCGCAGTTTGTCCTTCCGTGCCTGCTGGCCGTTGGCTAAGGACTGTTTGTCAGGCAAACGGAGAGGGACGCCCTCAGGCCACAGGCAGGGTCACATGTGCTTCCAGTAAGATTGAGCTGAACTGGATCATTCCAGAATGCCTACGGAATGTGGGCCCGGCACCAATGGCTGTCAGCTACGCCTTCCCTGACTTCCTATCTAAAATAACACACACCCCATCATTACCCTTTCCTCCTCCACTGCTTTCCTTTTCTTTACAGTAGCATTTCTACCTGGCATTCTATTATGTTTATTTATAGTTTCCTTCATACATACACCACAATGTAGGCCAGAGACTTCACTGTTTTGTTCACTACTATGCGCCCCATGCCTGCTGCTGTTGCTGCTAAGTCGCTTCAGTCAGGCCCGACTCTGTGCGACCCCAGAGACGGCAGCCCACCAGGCTCCCCCATCCCTGGGATTCTCCAGGCAAGAACACTGGAGTGGGTTGCCATTTCCTTCTCCAATGCATGAAAGTGAAAAGTGAAAGTGAAGTCGCTCAGTCGTGTCCGACTCTTAGCGACCCCATGGACTGCAGCCTACCAGGTTCCTCCATCCATGGGATTTTCCAGGCAAAATAGTCCTGGAGTGGGGTGCCATTGCCTTCTCCAGCGCCCCATGCCTAGACGGTGCCTAAAACATGACATGGACACAATAAGTATTTTTGAATGAGTAAGTGAATGATAAAAGGTAATATTTGCAACATGGCTTAAAAACACTTAGTTTCTGTGTTTAGGAAGCTAGGAAGGAGAAGATTAGGGGTTCAGAAAAGGGGCTTACTGAAGGATGAGCTTGATGTGTCAAGAGAAATAAACATGGGAAAGCTGTTCCATTCAGAACCTTTTCAGTCTCAGCTAATTCGGAAGAAAGCCAGCTAATTCACTGAGGAAGAATCATAGAATTTTTAAAATTAATACTTAAAAAAATTAAATAATCATTTCTGGCAAAGATTGTCCATGAATACAGATGAGATGTTCACTTGTTGCTAACATATAGTCCATAAGTTACTTGCTAATTGCAAAGGAAAAAATATTCCTCATGGAGGAGAGATCTGGCATTCACCGTCTTAAACAAATAATCAAATTGAGAATCAAGTAGTGGAACAATCTACTTACCTCCTTACATGATGTAGTATGAAGTACATAGCTTGACTGATGAAATATTCTTGCCAAACATAAGCCTTTAGATTAAACTTCCAAAGCATTGAGGTATAAGTTAAACACCACCAGAAGGAGATAATCAAGCTTTTTTTTGGTCTGGCTTCTTTCACTTAGCATAATTTTTTTTTTAATTCAACTTTATTTTTTGCAGCAGTTATAGGTTCACAGTTCAGTTCAAAGGAAGATACAGAGATTGTCTATATACACCCTGCCCTCAGCATGCACAGCTTTCCCCAGCATCAGTATCCCCCATTAGACTGTACACTCGTTACAGCTGATGGACCTGCACTGGTATGTCATAGTCACACAGGGTTCACAGGTCACATCAGGGTTCACCTTGGGGCCATGTATTCTGCAGCTTTGGATAAGTGTATAATGACATGCATGCACTGTCATAACATCATACAGAATCTTACTGCCCTAAAAATCTTCTGTGTTCTACCCATTCATCCTTCTCTCCCTCTCTCCCTACTGAATGCTAGTAACCACCAATGTTTTTACTGTCACCATAGTTTTGCTTTTTCTAGAATGTCATATAGTTGGAATCATACAGCTGGTAGCATTTTCAGACTGGCTTCTCTCACTTTGTACTAAGCATTTAAGGTTTTTTCATGTCTTTTCATGACTTGATAGATTGTTTCTTTTTTGCACTGAGTCATACTCCATTATCTGAATATACTGCAGTATATTTACCCAGTCACCTACTGAAGGACATCTTGCTTACTTTCTGATTTTGGCAATTATGAATAAAGATGCTATAAATATTAGTGTGCAGGTTTTTGTGTGAACATAAACTTTCAGATCCTTTGGGTGAATACCAAGGAGTGCAACTTCTGTATCGTGTGGTAAAGAAACCACCACCAAACTGTCTTCCAGAGTAGCTGTACCCTTCTGCTTTCCCACCAGCAATGAAGGAGCGTTCCTGTTGCTCCACATCCTCACCAGCACGTGGTGGTGTTGTTGTTCCAGATTTTGGCCTTTCTCATAGGTGTGTCGTGGGATCTTGTTTCAGTTTGCAGCTCCCTGATGACATATGATGGAGCATCTTTTCATATATTTACCTGCCATTTGTATGTCTTTTTGGGTGAGGTGTCTATTAAGGTCTTTGGGTCATTTTTAACCTGGTTGTTTGTTTTCTCGAGTCCTTTTATATTGTGGATAAGTCCTATATCAGATTGTCTTTTGCAAATATTTTCTTACAGTCTGTGGTTTGTCTTTTCATTCTCTTGATGTTGTCTTTCATGGAGCAGAAGTTTTTAATTTTGATGCAGTACAGATTATTATTCTTTAATGATCATGCCTTTGGTGGTATATCTAAAAAGTCATTGCCTTACCCAAGGTTATGTAGATTTTCTCTTGTATAACTATTCTGAAGATCTTTTTCCTTTTCCTGCATCAACAATTTGTTCTTTTTCATTGTTGAGTTCCATTGTGTGGGTGTACCACAATTTGTTTATGTTTACCTGTTGATGTATATTTCAATTGTTTTCAGTTTGGGCTCTTACTGTGAACATTTGTGAACAAGTTTTTGTCTAGACAAATGTTTTCATTTCTCTTGGGTCAATATCTAAGAACTGAATGACTGAGTCATCTGGTTGGCACATATCTAACTTTTTATTAAGTGGTTCAATTGTTTTCAAACCAACATCCAGTCAGGTTTCACACATTGTATTTGTTTGTTATGTCTCTTCAGTCTCTTAATCTAGAACATTCCTCCACTTTTAAAAAAATGCATCTTGTAGAATGAATTATATTCAGTACATACTAATTCCATATATATAAAATTCTGAGAAATTCAAACTAATCTATGGTGACAGAAAGCAGATCAGCAGTTCCCTGGGGATGGGGCAGAGGGTGAGTGAAAACAGGATGTGTTCCCCAGGTTTCTGAGGAAACTTCTAACATGATGGTTCATGTGTTGTTTGATTGTAGTGATGGTTTCACGGTTGTATGTATGTGTCAAAACTGATGAAGCCTACATTTTAAATTGTACATCAATTACAACTTAAAAAGCTATTAAAAAGTTGGGGTGAAAAGATCAAAAACAAACTAACTGAAGTTGGCGGTGAGCAGAATGTACTAATGAAAGTGCTAGGACAGAAAATTTTGAACTGGGAAAGTTTAAAATTCAGGCTACATAGGAATTGAATTTATAATCAATCACAAAGGCTTTATACAACTTGTTTCTAAGTTTCTCTCTGATCCTATTTTTGGCTTCCCTGGTGGCTCCATGATAAAGAATCTGCTTGCCAATGCAGGAGACATGGATTCGATCCCTGGGTTGGGAAGATTCCTTGGAGGTGGAAATGGTAAACCCACTCCAGTGTTCTTGCCTTGGAAGTCCCATGGACAGAGGAGCCTGGTGGGATGCAGTCCATGGGGTTGCAAACCATCAGTCACGACTTAGTGACGATACGACAACAACAGCAAACATCCTAAACTCATTCACATCGTTTCATGCTGCTTTTAGAAGAGGCATGCATCTTGAACGATAGCAAAAATACATTTTGAGTTTTAAATGACTTCTATGAAGGTGCTTGAAAATAATTTAAGAAAACATTTAAGATGCAACTTAATTTAACAGCCAAAGGAAAAAATTGTCAGTAGCTCCCCTTTGCCTCCTGATTTAAATTTGGTGGCAGTTCACTGAAGGTTCTAAGTGTCTCCTTTCAGCTTTTTTTCTCATCACTGCCTTCTCTGTAACCCATTCCCAGAGTGACAGACCGCATGCCTGTCCATCCTGTTCTCTCTGCGGGAGACGCCTCGGCTCACATGCGCCCCCTGCTTCACCTGCCTCTGGCAGGCAGAAATGCTACTTATCCTCTAAGGCTTCTGAAAACCTTGCTGATAACTCTTAGCAAAAATGAGTCTTCATCTTCACTAGGTTTAGCCTAGTGGTTGGTACTGCCCCAGCTGACCAACTCCAGGCTGAAGCAAGTGAGGTACTCACCTGAAATATACATTTTTAAGAGAATACCAAAAGACTCAAGAATCAAGTATTTTCAAATGAGTACCCAGTCAAGTTTCACTCTTTGCATTTGGTTATCTCTTCAGTCTTTTTTTAATCTGTAACATTCCCACCACCTCTTAGAACATGTAGCTTATAAGAATGTACCATATCTAATATACCTTAAATAGCTCCACCTTATAATATTTATTTATCTAATATTTTATGTAAACACTTGGAAAATAAAAATGCAAAGCATGGATGATGATATTTGATGATGTCAGAATTTTAAATAAAGACAGGATCAGCCTGCCTGATTTTTCCTGGACCTCGGGCTCCAGCATGGCTCCAGGCACATCGGCTCATTCCCCTCTGCTCATCACTGTGCATCTCCTCAGCACCTCTGTTAGGTCTGGCAGGTCCCAGACACCCATCATCTGACTGCAATTTTCTCTCCTTCTGTATATTACTTCCCTCATTAAAGGAAGGATGGTACAGGTGATCTTATTTGCAAAGCAGAAATAGAGACACAGACGTAGAAAACAAATGTATAGGTGCCAAG